CTTTTATCTTATAAAATTCATCCAGTTTATAAAAACAATGCATATGAATGGATATTATCAATAAACAACACAATATCAAATAATGTATGTTACATCACTCACACATCAAAAGAAACACTATAAGAACATCTAACATGCATGAACAATAAATGGAATAAATAACTTCTCTCAGAAGTGTACTAAAAATTATTATGGTAATAAATACATTCATAAATAAATAAATAAATAAATTCATAAAACAACAAGAGATTGTACATTAAAATAAATAAAAGTCATAGTTGGTATGTATGCAGACCTAAAATAGATGACTATTTATACAATTTAGTTAGTTAATAGGACTTGTTGCCAGTCACGGTAGCCGAGCGGTCTAAGGCATGCACTGTCTTTCCTCGCTCGGAAGCCGAGATCGTGGGTTCGAATCCCACTCAGGGCATGGATGTTTGTGTGCGTTTTTCTGTGTTTGTCTACAGGTAGAGGCCTTGCGACGAGCTGATCACCTGCCCAAGGAGTCCTACCGTATGTGTAAGATCTAGAAAAACCGAAGTGAACGGAGAAGTTCATGGAGGTAGGCCTAGGCCCACTGGGGCTGTAGTGCCAAGGAAAAAAAATCGCACTGCGGATATGTAACCAGATGAAGCTTAGTGAGGACATTCATATAAATACAAAGGCTCACTCTGTGACAGCATCAGTATTGTTTGCGTTAATTATGCCCCCTTGGGTCCTGTTTCTGCGTTCTCCTGCTCAACTCATCTCTGATGCACGGTTTGTGTACGTTTTTCATCTCATTGCCGTGTTATTACGTTTATATGGGTTACAGTATGTTATATTGATTTCAGGCCTGAGGCCCTGTAATATACCCACTGTGGATATGTAACCACTCNTTACCAAATGATTTATTTGATCTTTCCATGATAAGGTATTATCTATGATTAGTCCTATGAATTTTGTATTACAAGTATTTTTAATTTGAACATCCTTATAGTTTAGGTTTATGTTTGATGTAGTATTTACCTTTGATGAAAAATGCACATAGTTAGTCTTGTTAAAATTTAATGATAACGGATTATTCATAAACCATGTGTCTATTTTGTTCAGTATCGTTTTAAATACCATTATGTTCCACAGAATCAGAATTGTAACATAGTATGCTGGTATCATCAGTATACAAAATTGGTTTTGATATTTTATTTATTAAGTAAGGCAAGTCATTAATATATAAAAGAAAGAACAAGGGGCCAAGTATTGAACCCTATGGCACACCTTGTTTAACTTTCTGCCAATCAGAAATACCCATACAATAATTATTATTTATTAATGTTCTTTGATATCTGTCACTTGGGTAGGATTTAATGAATCTTCCAATACTGCCATTAATACCATAAAACTCTAGTCTGGATAATAAATCTGGATAATCAAATGCCTTGGTTAGATCACAGAATAGTCCTCCCACTGATAATTTACTATTCAGTGCCAGGTTTATTCTGTAGTTATGTAAATATGGTGTGTCATACATAATATAACACATGACAAATGTAGCCAAAATATGGATACTTGGATTTAATTCAAAATTATTTTGTATGACATACACACACACACAATTATATTCAACATTCAACTTATAACTAGTACAATGAAAGAAGTAAAACAAATATTTTGTTAAAAATAATTTCAGATGCACAAATATATCTTTGTTCTTTATCCACCTTTATTCACGTAGTAAATAGTGTTTTAATGGAAAACTTTAATGTAACAAACATTTAAAATGGTCTTAATAATATGCATCCTGTTGTGTGTCATAAACAAGGTACATAAATTGTATACAAAAGTATGCAGTCTACAAAACAATATTCTGTATTTTACCTTTATCGGATGGGCCATTTAAATTCCGGTAGTGGCAGCGGGACGGAATTAATTTAAATGCCGGCCATTGTAGAGTAATAAATATTGTAATCATGTTACTCAAAATGCTGTGATTTCTACAATTTTTGTGATAAACGAACGAAATAAACGCTGCTTTTATCTACAAAGAATATAGAATCAGATATTGTAATTTACAAATTTTAGAATCTGTAAAAATTGTTACACTGACTCCAAAAATCTTTTTTTCCCAATTTTAAGCATCTGTCCACAAATATGCAGTCAGTTTCTGCACAAAACGTTTCTGCAGTATAAATGCCTGCTGGTGACATCATTCATACTCATACTGCATTATCTTAGCCAAAGAGGAACGAATGTTTATGCTTATATAGCACTCTCAACCTTTCTGTATATACAGGAGTGAGGTCATGTCCCTCAGAGGCTCTGTCTGTGTATACACATATCTGCCACACAAGAAGCACTGTTAAGCTTCTTAGAAAGGCCCGTGCTTGGCCCCTTGTTCTACGTACTTTCAGTCTTATGTACCACATTCTAAATCGGTGACATTTACCAGCTGCCTATTAACTTCACCTTTTCCATGCGAAATGGGGCCATGGTGGATTGTTGAAATTGCGATGTTTTATAAGCGTTATGATTAGGGAAGGCAAAGCGGCAACATTGCCTGACTTCCTGCTAATACGAGACAGATGTTGCTGTGTGCGCTTTGCGTGGAAAACAGAGTGACATACGGACAAAGTGCATGAATTACGTCGGACTCTGCATTCAGTGTCATGCAACATTCAGTTAGATGATGCAGGAGGGAAGACAGTCTACTTATAAAGCTGGTGTTCAAAAATAGTGTAAGTAGAACAAGAATTTCTATCTTAAAATAAGATTTTAAAACACTATGCGCATGCGTGGATTGTGGGTACCCATCTGGTGACGCACGGCCACTCGGCTGTACTTTAAATGACGCCGTATGGTGACATTAGTCTGATAAAGGTTAAAACAAAGTAGACACTATCATATCAACATTTGTTTTTATTGATGCTACATGTTTCGATGAAATAAGTGGAGGAACTGTTTTGGAAGAGACTGTGGACCTGTCGTCTGACAGATTACTGATGATGATGATATGTTTCGACCCTTATACTGGGTCATCATCAGGCATACAATGATACCAGACTCAATTGTTGAATTGCATCTAACAATTTTCATCTAATTCTTCAATAGGGATTCTTATTGTGCACCTGAGTGTTTTTAAATCCATAAATTGAGTTTTTCAGTTATAATTTTAAATACTCAGACAATAAAATTTAAAAATTAGAGACTAAAGATTAAAATATATGAATTGTTTTGGGCTCTTATGACAAACAACTGCTCTACTTTTGTTACTTGGTCAGCAAGCAGTGCTCATAGACGGACATTATACAGACCAAGAGTGATATGACCACGGTTGGCACAAAAGCAAAGGGCAATCAAGCGGCCACCTGAGATGGAACATTTTAGGAATTTTTTTTTAAATGAAAATTAATTTATGCTTGTAAGATTTGAGGTTTTCACAGTAGTGACTACAGGGAATGCCATTTTCTGGGATGTGGTGCCATGTAGATCTTGTGTGAACCAATGTTTCGGAGGAATGTATCACCTTCATCTTCAGGGTAGAAAAATCTGTGAACGAGGAACCAGCATGAGTAGGTGGCTGCAGACTGCTCACACTCGTTCTTTGTTCACAGACTTTTCTACCCGGAAGATGGTGATATGTTCCTCCAAAACGTCGGTTCACACGAGATCTACATGGTGCCACATCCCAGAAGACGGTATTCTTAATTTATACTTATCTCTTGTTCTTGCTGTGACCACTAATTAGGAGTAAAATAGGGCTATATTATGCAAAATGTATACAAAATTGTTTTGAAAATTATGAAAGCAATGATGATTTTAGTCAGAGTGTCTGGAAATTTTATTTTACTAATTTTGAGGAAGTTCTGACACAGTTGAGCAGCTTTTAATTTTAGGAAACTCAATTTCCCATCACCTAGGGCGGCATTTAGGCCTGTAGAGGCCCAGAATTTGAACTTCTTGCAGGTAAACAGCACAGCGACAGCTGTGGAAAGTAAGCAACTACAGATAGGTGTACTTCTTAANTCTTTTCATTCGATAAAACAAAAAAAAAGTCGCACGGGGCAAGGTCGGGTGAGTATGGAGGGTGAGGAACACGGGTCATACCATTTTTGGTCAAGAACTGTCGTACAGACAGGGCTGTGTGAGCAGGGGCATTGTCATGATGGAAAAACCAGTCACCCGACTGCCACAAATCTGGCCGCTGAGCTCCAAGTCACTCCCGACAGCTCCACAATTTCGTCAATGGTCCATCGTCGATCTTCCTTGATGATTTCACGAATTTTTTCAACATTTTCATGTGTTTGGGCTGTGGAAGGACGATCGGAACGAGGTTTGTAATAAATTGACATTTCACCATTTTTGAAAAGGGAAAACCACTCAAACACTTGAGTTTTCACCATAGCATCATCCTTGTATGCCGCTTTTAACATTTCAAGAGTTTCTGTTCCACTTTTCCCGAGCAAAAAGCAGAATTTCACCGCTGCACGCTGTTCACGAAAATCAGCCATTGCAAAAACGATGATCACACAAAACAGTTGTCACTATAAACTCTGCCAAAACCAGTCCTTACCTTCTGAAGCAATGGTAGTCGGCTTATCGACTCAGGAATGTTAGCTCTATGCGCTCATAGCGGCAAAACGCGGTACTACAAAAGCTCTGCCCACAAAAAAATTAGTTCGGTTTCTTTTGAGTACCCCATCGTACTATGGAGGGTAAACAACCATGCAGTTGCAATAGTGTCATTAAACAACCTAAGGACTAAAGAGAAACATGTGTTAAACCTGCATATTATATCATTAATGTTCACAAAGTATATCACAGAAAAGGTAAGTTTAATACTATTTCATGTTGGAGCTGAGAAGTATATTTCATTCTGAAACCAGGAAACAATAGTCAGATATGAGCAATTATGTAAGTATTATATTACTCAAACTCAGACTGTTACATTCGTCTCTTACCTGAATTTCTTGGGGTTGCGATGCAATTTTACATGTCTTGCAAAACTCCTATATCGTGTGTACACTTTAGCACACTGAATACACTTGAAATTAGGGAGCTGATTATGTTCCATTTGATGGTGGGTTCTCAGTTCTTGTAATGTTGATAACACCACAGTGCAGTCAGTACACTGCCAGGGGTATCCTTCAAGGACAGCTTTTGGACGGGGAGGTTTAATGATCATAGGTTTGGGTTCCCGTTCCTTTTTCTTCCTACCTGGACGTTTCCTTTCACATTTAATCATTGTTTCAACAGTCTTTACCCGTTCCTCTCCTGCCTTTTCTTCCACTTCTTTCACTGTTTCCTTATCTTCTTCTTTGTCCTTTTCTTTCTCTTTCTCTTTCTGTTTCTCTCTCTTTTCACTTTTTGCCTTTAGAACACGTTCTTTACGTTGGATAGTGTCTTTAATCTGCAATCGTTCTTTTGGAGAAAGCCGATCTTTTGTAACTGGACGTTCTTTTGGTGGAGGACGCTCTTTTGAGGGTTGGTGCTCTTTTGAAGGTTGATGCTCTTTTGATGGATGACGCTCTTTTGGAGGTGGCCGCTCTTTCGGTGTGGTACGTTCCTTCACAGCCAATGCAGCCAATGTTCGTTTAACAGGAATACGCCGTTTCCGACGGGATGATGCAGAAGTGCCAATTTCTGAAACAAATTCAGTCACGAGTTAATTACTGAAAATTGTATATAAAGATGATGATGCTTAGTATGTTAAACGTGAGCCTTGAATACTGCCTGAAACTAATACTGCCACTGCATATTCACTAGACTTTACTTCTGACTTCAACTCTGCCTCTCTTCCCCCTGGGATACATCTCCAAGTAAGATTTACATTGCATTATGAGAAAATTAATTCAAAGTTGCTTTCACTGAATGTGACTGTTTCAAGTTCTTATCCACTGTTTAACTTGGACTGAAGATTTAAACATATTCACCTGTCTACTCATCTGTGGCAAATGAGAAACTGTGGGTGACAGGTACAAAACCATTGCATATGTAAAGAACTGCTTTTCTAATTTTAGTAGTTATATGTACAACTAAACCAATCTTTGTTTATTACTGCTTGGATAACTTAAAATCCATTTATTATGCATATTATCACTCTTTAATGAAATATGGCATAATATATATATATATAATATATAATATAATATAATATATATAATAATATACTGGGAGTTGGAC